AATATTACAAATGGTTGTTAGGTTATACATGATTATACATGAATTAACTAGTATGTTTTTATAACATACCTTCTATAGTTGAAAAGATTATTAATATTACAAATGGTTGTTAGGTTATACATGATTATACATGAATTAACTAGTATGTTTTTATAACGTACCTTCTAGAGTTGAAATGATTATTAATATTACAAATGGTTGTTAGGTTATACATGATTAACCCTACATGCACTGGCAAGGATCAAAGCGTGCCTGCCCCAACCTTTTACAGAGTACCATTCGGCATGGTATTATGAATTTGATTCCGAGCTACCAGCTTTCCACGTTGCCCTACTTTGATGATTTTACAACAGTTCGTGTTAGACTAAAGAAAGTACCAGAAACAGTTTACAGGGATACTGAAAAAACTAGATATGTATTTAGGAGGTTGTAGAAATTATGAAAATGCAGTGTGCAAAATGTACATTGGACAAGAGTAGTTTTATTCTTCACATAAACATAACCTTGCACTCTGACCTGTCTGAGTCAGACTGATGTTGTCCATTCACAGGCTTATTTTGTGTACAAATACCTTTGTAACTCATCTGATATTATTTGTATAACAAACTTGTACATTTTGTTAAAAGTCTGCCACATTTCATGTAGATGCACATAATAATTTTGGAATTATACTCAATATTCCTTCTCCAGTACAGGGTCGGTCCAATGGACCAAGACTTTGCACATTTAGCTGATTTTGACACTTACCTGTCCCCCGAAGTTTACACACTTAAATCACTAAAATCTGGGTTTTTTTTTTTACCTCCACAGTGGACACAGCAGATAGCCTAATGTAACTTTACTCTAAACAAATAAACAGACACATTTATCTATCACTTTTAAATGTTGATCACTCACTATAAGGCCAGCCATAACGTTGTATTTTTAAGCACTCTGTGACACTGATTATTGTATAAGTTGAAGAGGTAGAGGAAAATATTATTCCATAAAAACTTGTAGTACTTAGTTTGATAACAAGTGTTTACCTTGTTTGAAATAGAAATTTAACAATGTTTTTTTTACATTTTAGGTAGAATATGCACTAGAGAAAAACAACAAAAAACCTGTGCTTAAAATCCTGGTTTCAAATTTGTTTTTGTTTAGCTTCCCCCCCATTGTCCTGCATCAGTCACCCTCCAACCTGCACCAGGGGACACTGGGAAACCATGTGGAGTGGATTATGAATTGAAAGCGTATGTTGCTGATAATACAGATGAAAAACCTCACAAAAGGCAAGATCTTAAAATCAACTTTTGTTGCCAGTGAAACAAACGAACAAAAAACTGTTGACATATGGGATCTGAGTGCTACCCTCTATAGAGTTTGTAACTGGGCCTAAGTGGTGAATTTTACCATTGTAATCTGCTTAATTGAGCTAAAGATTTTCATTTTCTTCAGTCTTCAGAATATAAAAATATCTTTGGTGGTTTGTTATATCCAAGTTTAAAATTGTTTGGTGCTTGTTAAAAATCAGTAATTTCTTACAGGTGAGAAGCCTCTCTCACTGAATACAATCACTCCTTACATATAAATAGAGTAATTAAACTTATTCTCAGTAGGTGTAAGTAAACGACTAAAAACTTGTTTCAAAGATAACCAAAACAGTACATGTTAAGATTAGACAACATGAAAAATCTGAAAATAATCACTACCTACATATAAATAAACAGAAAAATTAAAATATTATTAACAAATCCAAAACTGGTTTTTGTGATACTTCACAGTTTATTAACGTTGTTTTTTTTGTTGTACAGGAACTCTGTAAGGCTGGCTATTCGTAAGATAATGTACGCACCCAGCAAGCAAGGGGAACAGCCCAGCGTGGAGGTTAGCAAAGAATTTATGATGTCCCCTAACAAACTCCATCTTGAAGCCTCACTGGATAAAGAGGTAGAGTTTCAAATCCAGGTTGATTTTAATTATCACCAAAAGAACGTGTCATGATTACTGGATATGACCTGACGTATATGTATTGGTATTTATAATAACATTGCATTTTCACTCTTACCTGCATGCTATAGTTAACATAGGACTGTACAACCATTCACCTTTTGTTTGTCCAACAGTTGTACATCATAAACAGAAGATTTATCTTCGGTAAAACAGAAGGTCTGTTTTTGTCTGATGATATCTCATGTTTTTTGTCAATAAGCTGTTCAAATTATTATTAATAAATTACAAATTATAAAATGGTTTTTGGTATTGCTCAGTGTTTGCCCTTTACAAAGATGTAAAGGAGGGTGGTTGTGATTTAAGTTTACTTAGTAATACGTATTTATTAATTTTGCTTATGAGAAAAATGAATTCTGTGTCTTGGAAAAACTGAAATAATTTCAGTTTATTAAATTTTGCTGTTAAACTGTACTAATAATGGGGTCTTTATTTGTGACTTTCTAGTAGTTTTTATGTGGGGATTCACACAGTCAAGACATGAAAATACTTAAAGTCTTTACATTTCACAAAAATTTATTATGGCCATGCTTTCCACCCATAAAGGCATCATCAGGTACAACACTTGACGATGTCTTTACAGGTGAAACTGTGGTCGTTGATAAAGGAAGTTTTTGTGAAATGTACAATTGTCCTTGCTTTCCTCAATTCTGTAATTATCGAGTTTCACGAAGTACCAATGGTTTAAACTGTTGGTTGTATTAAATATATATATCTTACTACAGTAATGATCCATTGTGCACGTGTTAGCATCCATCACCCACAATAGGCTAGCTCAATTACCATAATTATTTGTTTGGCAACTAGAAACTTTCTAATGGTGTACATAGGTTATTTTATTTTAGGATTTTTGCCTGAGTAGGGTGATAAAAAAAAAATCATCCTGAAATTGGACACTTTTTTTTATAGACACAAGTACTTAATCAGTTATATTAATCTATTATTGCCTTCTATAAAACTGGGTATGCAATTAGCATCTAATGAGATCATTGGGGATTTAATAACAAAAGAAAGAAGGAAGGGGAATATTATCTAACACTGTCCTTTATACAATTTTTGCTTCCATAGCAGATGCCATTGGTTAGTTTATTCAAACATTTATTGTGGGTGAAGTTAAAATATCCAACAGATTTTACTACTTGGACACTGATTCGGGCTAAAGGTTAGGCTAGTTTTACATAATTTTATCAGTGGATAAAAACAAAATATTTATATCAGAATGACATTTATCCAGTAAGCTAAAACTGGTAAAGTTAGAGAAAGAAAATGGAGACACAAGTTGATGTGGATAAGGTTGATCGTAAGGCAGATGGAATTGTAACATGACCATGAAAGATTGGCTTTCCTTGTGAGACTTAAAATTTTTAATATTAGAGATACTAACTTCAAATTTGTTCATCCTAAAATCAAGTAAAATGTGATCAGTTTTAAAAATTTAGCCTTAAATTTTAAAAGTTTTTTTTTTTAATAGTCCATGAAATCTCTGAACCTTTCTCAAAATACTAGAGGCCCCCATACATTTCTGATAATTTCGAAATCTTAAAATAATCTAACAATAGTATAAATCAGACAATTAATTTTGTACACCATGTACGTACCATAAACGTATGCTTCCACGTTGTCATCATAGTGATAACGATAGTCTGTGTCAAAACACAAGATAATAAATAAACGTCTTTATATCCTCTGTATGTTAAATATGATTACATTTTTATAATTAAAGCTTAACATTTGAGCTTGATATATATTCTTCTTTAGATTCATGATTCTGAAGGCAGTTGTCTTCCTGTGGGCATTAGCATCCTATTTTTTAATTCTGAACTTTAAACAACAGTATTTTAAATAAATGAATGTGTTATGTTTTTAGTGAAATAACTAGGAGGAGAGTCATATGAATTTCTAATTGTACATTTACATGCATTTCAAAACAGTTTCATTTAAATAAGTTGTGTGTCTGTTAAAGTATTTGAGCTTTAGTGTGAAAACTGACTTTCATAAAAATAACCTTTACATTCCTTCTTGGTGAGAGTTAAATGATAACTAAGAAATATTCCATTCAGGAAAGAATTCCATCTAATTAAGTGAGTAACAGTTCATCTGAGCTGTATGGTTGTTGTGATTAATGCTTACTTCATTTGACATCTGAGTTATATAATGATTTTTGCGTAATATAAATTATTAATTTTTCCAGTTACCAATATAGGTTTTTTTTATTACGGTAACTTCAACATTTTGTCATGGTAATTGAGTATTAGGCATGGTTTTTGACAAGATATTTTTTTTTAATTTCTAGTTATACTACCATGGAGAAGAGATAGCGATTAACGTTCATGTTGCCAACAACTCCAACAGAACTGTCAAAAAGATCAAAGTTTCTGGTAAGCACTTCAATTGAAATGATGTTATACATGCAGTTTTAAAATGTTTTAATAATTCCAGTGTTTTTTTTTTTGTCAATTAGAACATTTAAATCCATTTTCCACTTCAATTTTAAATTCTAAACCTGTTTTTGAAAGTGATACAATACAGAAATATTAAACTCACCAAGATGCTTGTCTGTATTCTCAATTACTTATCAGAACTTGGATTCATTACAGTTCGACAGTTTGCTGACATTTGTCTGTTTTCTACTGCTCAGTACAAGTGCTGTGTAGCTGAAGTGGAGAGCGAGTAAGTAGTTTCTTCGTGCTATAAAGTTAGAACTTTTACATTTGGTGACGTGCGAGAAAAACGATGAGTTTTCCCGCTCTCTATAGGAAAAGTTGGACTTCTTTAATTCTGTTACATTTGCTTATTATAACAAAATTTTATTCCTCATACTTGTGTGTGTTTTGTATTTACTGGTTTAATGGTTTGAGGGCTCTAGATTTAGTAGTTTATTAAAATTATATTAAATATATGTAATGTATATTATCTCATGTACTTGTGAAATATACATCTATATTTATTAACTCAAGTTATATATTAATGTTTTATATGACAAGTTATCATATTGCATCTTGTAATCGTTCTTAGTAAGATAACACTTTCAGAAGGTTATTCAGATGGTGCTTGGGTTATTGGACACTTTTGATTGATTTTTGTATCTTAACTTTGTGATTTAATCTCTTTTTATAGCATTATAATTACGATGTAAGCTTTAAGTTATTTTTATTGGGTTTTACTGAGATAATGCTTTCAAAATGTTATTATCAGTTGGTTTTTCGGTTATTGGAGACCTAATAGATGAACATACCTTAACTTTGTGATTTAGTTTTGTTTTTATTAGGCAGGTGGCAGCACTGTCTATGTAGGAATGGCTCATATTTTTCATCGAAATGGTATTTTAAATATCTCCTCAATAGGTCATCAAAACTTTACAATACTATACAGTGTTACCTTTTATAAAAATATATATGTCGTGACTGAGTCACAAGTTCTGGGAATGTCTGTAAATATCATAGAAAAAGTTTGAATTTCTTGTTCTTCTTTCTTCTGTATTTTTTCTTATTTTTTTATTACATGATAAGACAAAAACCAAAACAATTGTGTCAACCAATTTCACTGAGGTGACATAGTTTCAAATGGAGTATCTGCTTTTATAAGTATAATTAACTAGTAGTAATTAAATAAAATCATAATTCTAGTGTAAAAGATGTTATCATTACCTCTTGAAGTTAGCTTTCTTACATAAATTTGATGTTCATTTAAAAAGCTTAAGTACAGGGTGAAACAGGAATTACAAGACAATAATAGATAAACAATAAATATTACAGTTGGAACCTCATTGTATTTAGAACTGGGTTATAAATACAACCTTTCTGTGTCTAATGAAACAGTGCATTAAAAAAACAAGTAAAGAAAAAAACTTTTCAAGTAAATATAGGGATGGCTAATATCAATCTTTCAAAAAGAATGCAAACAAGATAGTAGGATGACATTTGTAAATTCTATTCTTACTATCTTTGAATTTTTTTTCAAGGATTGATATTAGCCATCCTTGTATTTACTTTTTTTAAAGTTTTTCTTTACTTGTAGCAATGTAGTTATGATGTAAGCTTTACGCTGTTTTTATCAAGTTTTACTGAAAAAAATTATAAATTGTAGCTGTGTAATAATCTATTCTTAACAGTTCTGAGACTTATAAGTATTATTTTTTAAATTAAAACTCTGCAAAATGTTTTTTTTTTATTTAATTTGATATTTGAAAACCTACTACAAGTTCTTATGCCCTTGCAGACAATTAAAAAAATTTTTGATTTAAATTTAATTTCAGGTAACCTGATTCTGGACCTTGTAATTTTTTAGTGTAAAGTGAATCTTTCTATTGTTTTCTTTTTCAGGGATGGTTGTCCCATAGGGCCTGGATTCACATTATCTAAAGTCTTCTACTTGAAACCTCTCCTTGCAAACAACAAAGATAAACGAGGTCTAGCACTCGACGGTCAGTTGAAACATGAAGACACAAATCTTGCTTCTTCCACCATGTAAGATAATCATCCTAAATACAGTTTGAATCCCTTCCTGCACTTTTTTTATTTTTCCAAAATTAATGGCTGATGTAACCGCTATTCTTCTCAGGTTACTTTTTGCCGTAAATGGGTGGAGTAATTTTTACATACCACTGATTTATGGCTTTTGAAAGGTCTCTATACATGGATAAGACAATGTTGACTGATATTAATCCTTTTTTGCCCAGTCATCCATTGTATTGCTGCTAGATAAACACTTAAGACCTAGTAACATACAGAATCTTGCAAAAATATTCACTTCTTGGTAATTTGAAAACGTAGTTCACCCGTTATCATGAGTTTGAATTAACTCTTTCTTCCAGTAATGAAATTAAACTAATCAAACTGTTTATTTTGCAATAATTTGATTTCTTTGTTTAGAATGCTTTTTGGCCATATTGTATTCCTTGTTTTGCTCATTTTTACTAGTCACAGCAATACTGTGGTTTAGAATTTTTGTGGTATTTCCACTACTGGTAACTATTTTCTCTTTTGACATTCGTGATTTATTAAAGTATATGATTCTTGCTCTTCTTTGACTAATGTTTTGAAGCCTTTTACCTTTCAATTTTCTAATACAATTTGCCAGTACCTGCCATAAAATTTTTTAAGGGTTCAACATGCAGTTCAACAAGACTGTGTAATTTATGCACCATTTTTGTTAATTTTTTTTTTAAATCTCTTGTTACTAGTACTAAAAAAGAACTTCAATATTTAGAAAATGTTTTATTCAAACCAACTGACGTATATCATTTTTTCAGAATTACAGATCCACAACAAAAAGAAAACTTGGGTATTATTGTGCAATATAAAGTCAAGGTGAAGTTATGTCTGGGCCCACTTGGGGGGTAAGTTAGGTTAAAACGTATGATAGTGCGTAGTAATAAACTGCAAATAAGTTTTATTAAACCAATTTTAATCATTTTGTACAGCTTTAGTTTATTGCACTTGGATTTTCCTAACGTGTTTGTTTTTACTCAACTTGAAATTATGACTTACTGAACACACTTATTACATCTTTTTCGCAGCTTAAAATATTGTGTTAGGTAACTAAGAATTTGTTAATTGTCATTATTTTCATTTATGTGTTTTGAAATGGTTTACTGTTAATATAATTACCGTGGAAACCTTCTCAATTGGGACTTGTATATCATTTTCATGTTCTTTAGTATGGTGTGCTTGTAATCTCTGGTGATGATGAAGTTAGGTCTTTTATTTTTGGCTGTAGATGCAAGTGTTATAGGTGTTATTAATTAATACCAAAGTTTGCCCAGTGTTGTGAATGTCACTGTAGATGGAGTTGGGTGAAAGAAAATGTTAACCCTTTCGAGACAGGTCATGGGTGAAAGGTCATGTCATCTCGTTTGTTGACTCGCATTCAAAATTATATTGAACTACTATTTAATGAATTTATGTTGATAAGTTTGGTATCAAACTGTAGATTATAATTCAAATTTTAGTACTATATATTATTTAATTTGTTAATTTAAAAGCAAATATTAAAAAAACACAGATAAACATCGATTTTTGTTTGTCATGTGGTATGAAGAATGCAGCACTGGTTCAAATTAGATGTTTGTGAAGTCAAAATACCAAGTCTATTGTTTCGACCGAATCAGAAACTCAAATTACCGGTATTGACAAGCTAGAATATAAAATAAGAGCCTCTT